CATAGTAACTGGGGGTGTAATACAGTTTCCTCAATACTGACAATTATGTAACTGTGGGAAACAAAACCCACCACTGTGCACACAGAAAGGATGAAGAAGAAGCAAGAGTTTCCAATCAAGTCTAATGTAGAAAGATTCAACAACTATTCAACCAATCAAAAAATGTTATCCACCCCAGGGGTAGGACTAGAACTGTTGGGGAATAAGTTGCTTGTATTGCACATTGTGAGAAGATCACAGAGTTTAGAACTATGAGAGCTGTTGAATTCTTAGTAGGAGAGAGAAAATGGTTGGGTGAGGATTAAAAGAAAGGCTGACTCTGAATTTTAATATAGCCTTAAACCAAGGCATCTAATTGAATTCAGTCATCAGAGCCATGAATTGTTTACACGGAAGCCAACCATGTGTCCACAATGGCACAACTGTAAATAATTTAGCTCATGTAACTGTCATAGGAAGTACAAATAGAAGAATGTTTCTCAAAACCTCCTGTATATGAATCCATACTGGTTTTTAAAGGTAGCTTTTGGAATTGAGAAAGAAGGATAGGAGAAAAATGTACTCATAGTTGGTTGTGTTGTGTAAGAATGCTTTAAAATAAATTTGTGTCCTGCTGTTTTCATTTATTTTTTTATTTTTTTTTTTTTAGAATGACATCTGTGCAGTATTATTATCTTTAGCTGGTGCTTGATGAGCTAGTGTGGCAATCTAAAGGTGCTAATATTATGCCCAGCTATCGGTATGATTTACACAAAGCATAAGAACATTTTCCTGCAGAAACTAAAGTTTGTCTCAACCATTTAGAAAAATGATACATCCAGGAGGTGAAAATGACTGACAGGTAACACAAAATACTTTGCGGATTATCTCCACATAAAACAGAGACACAATTTCATTAGGGAGATGTTAAATTTTATTTAGCCTTTAATCTTTCTGCCGGTATGTTCTTGTGTTACTGACGGGTATTTCTGAATATCCATACCAGACATTTCACTCAGAGCTATGTTTGAGGTCTGAGACTTTTAATCTCATGCCCTACTGAATTCTAGAAATGTTCAGGCTTGGTTGCTTTATACATTATACAAAGTCACTTGCTGGATCAGTGGCTATCAAGGAGCTCAATAGTATGGAGCTTTCCCTTGCTTCCTTGTAGCAGTCGTACAACGACTAAGGCACATTTTTTGCCTGGCAAATCACAGCTGGACTGGTTCCAATAGAAGAGGGGTTAATATAGAGCCAGGAAAGGTAACCACTGGATGAAAAAAACATCTGCGAAAGCAGAGCCGCAGACAAACCACACGGAGGTCTGAATAGCCACAAAAATGCAACAGGGCCCCGTGCTTGGCTCTGTAGCTACTCAAGCAGCCTAGCAGACATTTAATGATCTGGATGATCCTTCAGACAAAAGATGTGCATGTAACAGGGCTTTTCATTTTCTCCCTACATCATTCTGACGTATCTAGACACTGCACATCACTATTTTAAGGATATTCTTACTACTGATTAATAGTTTAAAAAAAAAAACAATCAGTATTCTATTTGATGTAAAGATATTTCAAAAGTAAGCAGCTGGTTAAATAAGATGTTGTATATGAGGTGCTCACACAACTAGATAACAGAATCTAAACTTTTGATCTGTAAAAAATTGGCATGAATTTAGTAAAAGGATATTAGGCATATAACAAATTTGGTTTTGACTTTACAAACTAATCCTTTCCTCTACAGAAAGGATTGGTGTGATAGGTGTCCATTTATCATGCAGCGGTAAATGACCTCTGCTCAGTTCTCTGGCATTCTCAGAGGAGACAGTTCTCCTCTGAATGCCTGTTCATTAAGTGGTGTGGATCGCTTCTCCTAATGAGGACAGAAGCAATCTACAAATGCTTTGCACTCTAAAAAATGGCTGCTGTTACTGTAATCTTGCGAGATTACAATAAGAGATCAGTCAAACACACAGTTTACTAAGCAGCGGTAAATTACTACTGCTTCATTTGAGGCTCTCTCAGAGGAGACCGCTCAGTACCTCACTACACTACACACACATTGTTTTTCTAACTTGCTCTACCCCATTGGGGGTCGTGAAAGGCAGGGGGGCTTTTCCACTGTCTTGGGGGCTCTGACTGAGGAAGAAGGAAATCAATAATCTTCCTCCTTCCTCCTCAGTTCTCTCTGGATTCATTTTTCTCTCCCCGATTCTCCACCTCTGGGCTGGAGAATCTGGGAGGGAGAAATTTCACACAGATCGCCAGTGAAGGGCTGACATCTCTCCTCCATACACTGGCCATTTCTGTTTCTGTCAATGACAGATTCTCTGTGTACAGAGATGATCAGTGGCAGGGGTGGACTGACAACTCATGGGGCCCCCGGGCAATAGGGGATCATGGGGTCCCTGTGTCCTTGCCCAAACTCAAAAAAGCCTATGAAAAAGGTACCAGGGGCATCTCCTGGGGCCCCCCCCCGGGCAATAGGGGATCAGGGGGCCCCTTTGTCCTTGCTCAAACAAAAAAGCCTATGAAAAAGGTACCAGGGGCATCTCATGGGGCCCCCTGCTGACCCTGGGCCCTCGGGCAGTGCCCAAGTTACCAAATGGTCAGTCCGCCCCTGATCACGGAGAATATGTTTTCCATTGATCTTCTCTGTTTCCTAAACCACTAATGATCTGAGATCAGCAACGATCCTCAGAATTGCAGCTGATCTGTTTCATAAAAGGACACCATGGTTTTTAAATGAGTATTCTTAAGATGTTTATTATTATTAATATATAGTATTTATATAGCGCCAAAGGGTTTGTTCAGCGCTGTACAATAGCAGGGGGACAGAACATGAGACAGGACAGAAACAGTACAATACATGAGGGGTTCGAGGGCCCTGCTCTTTTGAGCTTACAATCTAGAAGTTTACTCTTTCCTTCTCTAAAACATTCATTACATCTGCAAAAAATTTCTTTCTTTGAGTAACTATGGTCCTGATGAGCTCCTAATCCCATTGTAACATTTTATTTCCTTACAAGGAATATTGCTGGACAGGCCTTCTCATGTACATTTGGTGAGTGTGGTTGACACTATTTGGATGGGGCAAGGAAACAGAAATGGAGCCCACTAAGCAAAGTGCAGAATCAAGGCATTGCTGGCATATGGATAGAAATTTACAAAACACACGGCATAAGCAAATGGCTAGTTTTACAGTAGAGTGAGAGGTCAAGACCAGATGGCTAATGATCTGATATAGGCAAAGGAAGTATTAAGGAGTAACAAACAGGAGATAGGAATCCAGGCTGGCAGGTAAAAGCCAAAGCAATCAAGCAATCAATGAGGATACAAACCAAAAAAATAAGGGCTAGGTTTACACAATAACAGGTAAACAAATACAAGGAATTGATCCTAAACTAGGACATTACAGTACCACTTCCATGTATGATTAAAAAAAAGTCTCTTAACTGAATACTCCTGTTTAAAATTGAATAAAGAATTACATTCAAATGAGGGCTATAATAAGGAGGAAATAAAAAGTACTTGTAGCATAACGAGTTGGAGTGGGCATATGGAAGATAACATTGTTGACACTTCTGATTTTTTTTTTTTTTTTATAGTTCATTTGATACACTATTATGCCAAATGTATTGGGACACCCCTCCAAATCAATGGATTCAGGTGTTCCAATACCCTCCATGGTCACAGGTGTATAAAATCAAGCACCTAGGTATGCAGACTACTTCTACAAACATTTGTGAAAGAATGGGTCACTCTCAAGAGTTCAGTGAATTCAAGTGATAAGTTGCCACCTGTGCAATAAGTCCAACTGTGAAATGTCCTTGCTGCTAAATATGCCACGGTCAATTTTTATTGGTATTATAACAAAGTGGAAGTAACTGGGAACAACAGCAACTCAGCTATGAAATGGTTGGCCATGTAAACTGACAGAGTGGGTCATTGCATGCTGAAGTGCACAGTGCGCAGAGATCCCTAACTGTCTGCAGAGCCAATAGTTAAAAACCTCCAAACTTCATGTAGCCTTCAGATCAGCACAACAACAGTGCATAGAGAGCTTAATGGAGTGGGTTTCCACGGCCAAGCAGCTGCATCCAAGCATTACATCACCAAGTACAATGCAAAACATCCGATGTAGTGGTGTGAAGCATGGCGCCACTGGACTCAAGAACAGTGGAGACATGTTCTCTGGAGTGACAAATCACACTTCTCTGTCTGTCAATCCAATGGATGTGTCTGGATTTGGCGTTTACCAGGAGAACGATACTTGCCTGACTGCACTGTGCCAAGTGTAAAGTTTGGTGGAGGGGGGATTATGGTGTGGGGTTGTTTTTCAAGGGTTGGACTTGGTCCCTTAGTTCCAGTGAACGGAACTCTTAAGGCGTCAGCATACCAAGACATTTTGGACAATTTCCTGCTCCCAACTTTGTGGGAAAAGTTTGGGGATGGCCCCTTCCTGTTCCAACATGTCTGCACACCAGTGCACAAAGCAAGGTCCATAAAGACAGGGATGAGCGTGTTTGGGGTGGAGGAACTTGACTGGCCTGCAGAGTACTGACCTCAACCTGATAGAACACCTTTAGCATGAATTAGAGCGTAGAGTGCGAGCCAGGCCTTCTCATCTGATATCATTGCCTTACCTCACAAATGCGCTTCTGGAAGAATGGTCAAACATTCCTATAGACACGCTCCTAAACCTTGTGGATAGCCTTCCAGGAAGAGTTGGAGCTGTTAAAGCTGCAAAGGGTGGGCCTACTTAATTTTGAACCCTATGGACTACGACTGGAATGCCATTAAAGTTCATGTGCATGTAAAGACAGGTGTCCCAATACTTTTGGCAATATAGTATATGTCCAACTACAGGTAAGGGGCAGGGGCAGGGGCGGACTGACCATTCGAGCACTCGGGCACTGCCCCTGTTACCTTTTTTATAGGCTTTTTTGAGTGTGGGCAAGGACACAGGGGTCCCATGATCCCCTATTGCCCGGGGGCCCCATGAGTTGTCAGTCCGACCCTGGTAAGGGGATTCCGATAATTTGTTTATTGTTGATAAAATGTGAGAAACAGGTCAAGTCGACAAGGAAGAAACATCATAGTAAGTGTGTGTTTTTTAAGAAGATAAGTCGCCATGACATTCAAGCACAAAAACAAACTTTTATGAAGGTAGAACAACACCTAAAATAAGTAGGAATGATGCATGAACTGTTTTTTCAGGGCAGGGTGTCAGGGGAGGTCTCAAACTTACACTTACTATGAGGTCTCAAATGTGGGAATAACAGAAGAAGCCAAAGCAGTTTGAAAGCATATTAGCCAGTGCCAAAACAAGGTCCTTTGTCACTCAAGGTCAAAAGGCCAAAGTGCACCTTCCCAAGCTGTGGCCTACTTCAGAAGCATAGGCCCTGCCCTTTTTGTCCCCTCCTCTTAAATCACTTAAAGTGGTCACCTCTTCTGCCTAACTTTTTGCATAGAAACTGCAGTATATAGGAGTGTGGAACATACAACAAGAAAACACCAATACACACTCCTAAAAAGAAAGCACATGGGCTAACAATAGAAAATGTATGTTCTTTCTCCATCATCGGTCTGGCTTTCATTAAGGATTCCAAACAACAATAAAATGATCATTTGCTCCTGTAGCAATCATGCACACCGAGATGGACGCGGTCATCCATCTTGTTTTGTATCATCTCTCTCTCCCAAATCAGGCTTCCTCCTCCAATTTCCCCCCCTTCCTCAGGAATGTGGTCAGTGTGTGTTTGCTGAGTTTAAAAGGCAACAGGCCCCAGTGGGAGAGCTCCAGGGCTGTAAATCCCACACTAGCTAGGTTTCCCTCTGTCTGCAAGACCCTTGCTGGAGAAGGGGTCATCAAGCCATAAACCAGCCCTCACTGAGCTTCAAAAGACAGTCCAGGAAGTCGTAAAAACAGACTTACATTTAAAAATTCACTTTTCCATATAATTTTATATCTCCAAATAGGAAATAATTACACAAACATGGACCACATATTCGGATGGCTCACGGTAAGACAAGTCACCTGGTATATTACACCCCCTATCTGACATACACAGGAGAGCAGAAAATAATATCTCCTTAACCATTAAAGCTGATATTTCATGTTTCATATCTAACCATTCAGCAGATGATTCTGGGTATTAATCTACTCGTGGATAGAATGTTATATGAACCTAGGAAAAGTTATTGGCCATAGTATAATTTGGGCAGGCTTTGGTCAAAGCTTGAGCTCCCCGCCTACACAACCCCCTCCCCAAATGAGGCGATTGGTTCTCTGAGTCAGGGAGACACCCTGTGGAGGTCCTAGAAAAGCTAAGCTAAGTTTAGTTAAAGTTGAAGAATTCTCCCTTTTTTTACATCGAAACCAACTTTGGGAGAAAATGCCCTTTTGCTCAGAAAACTTGAAAGCTGCTTAACCCAAGGCTTTTGGCAAGTACTTTATCTATCTAAATTCCTTTCTGTTATCTCTTTGCTGGGCTATTGTTTTCTGTATACTTATATTGGCTTCATCTTTTTCTGTAAATATTTTTATTGCACCCTTTTGACCTTTTAGTAATAAATCTCACTTTCTGAACGTGTTTAACTGTTTCTAAAGCTCTTTAATGCAAACTCAGAACCCCTGCTGAAAAGCGCTACTGTGTGTGTGTTTTAAACTTCAGTATATCACTGACTGCGGTGACAGTGGTATACCGAAGACTATTCAAATATCATAGTGTTATTGCTGATATTGCTGAGTTTCCTCTTTCTCTCTACAAAAAGGAGGTGGTGGCAGTGTGAAGGGTTAATTGCGTAATTAACCTGACTCAGTAACAAACTAAGGCTGCAGGTACATCGATTGCGGTCCATTAGCTGGAAAATCATTGTGCAGGGTGCAGCTGGGCGTGGCATTGTTACGCACGTGACAGCACGCTTTTAGATTGGCTAGTTTTTCGTTCACGAGTTTGGTGAGAAGGGCTTAGGTCTGACGCCGCGATCGTCACAGCTCCTACTACAGTTACCCAAAGTTTATGTCACTTTCTGGCACATAATTCTACCACCCTGTTAAGTGCTGTTAAGATAGTAGAAAAAATAGTTGACTTCTGTTCTCTGCACAGTGAGACTCCCCACTACCATTATCAAAACAACACAACGCATTTCTACTCCTCACTGGTGGTCATCCAAGCTGTATCTTGGCATGAAAAAGATGTTACTTGCCTGTAAAGAAAGATGCAGTGGAAAGGTGGGCCAGGAGACTAGATTTCAATCTCTAAACTGGTGCTCTGATGCTGTCAGGCACTGGAATACCATGGACACAGTTTGCTATGTAAAGTAAAGAAGTACCAGTGAGTTAATATCAGGGATTTTATTTAAGAGAAGGAACAGTAGAAGGTAGTATTGCTTAGCCTATTTTATCAGGTTTAGGTTAATGCTATGCCTATGACATGTCAGTAATAAAACTTATGATGAGAGTTGCTAGTGTGTATGCATGTGTGTGTGTATTTGTATAGGTGGGCAGCAGAAAAAGGTCAAGAATGTCCTCTCTGAATCTACACACCTTTGATGGAGTCATCATTGTCAAGAACACAACAGAGATTATTATTATCAAAATTAATCAAGTTCAAATTAATGACATGTTTCTATATATATAACCTCAATCCCCATGCTCCTAAAAACCACCCTCCCTTTTTCATGTGCACTCTGGAATGCTCACTATGTAATAAGCTCACCTCCGTCCTTGACCTTTTTGTCTCTCACTCCCTTGACCTACTAGCAATTACAGAAACCTGGCTTCAAGCATCAGATTCTGCTTTTCCTGCAGCACTTTCCTATGGAGGCCTTCTCTGGACTCACTCACCCAGACCCAGTGGTAAGAAAGGAGGTGGAGTTGGTTTGCTTCTATCCCCACTGAGTACCTCTCAAGTCCTCCCTAACCCTCCCTCTCTATCCTTCTCTTCTTTCGAGACTCACTGCATTCGGCTGTTTTCTCCCATTTCTCTGAGGATTGCAGTGATCTACTGGCCTCCTGGACCCGTGTTGCACTTTCTTGCTGACTTTTCTGCTTGGATACCATACTTTCTCTCCTCTGAAATACCCACTATCATTCTTGGAAATTTTAACATCCCATTAATGTGAACAACTCAGCTACATCCCAACTCTTTAACCTAACCTCATCTTTTGCCTTAACACAATGGGTACAGTCCCCCACTCACTCTGATGGTAATACATTAGACCTTGTTTTCTCCCATCTTTGCACTCCCTGCAACCTCACAACACCCCTTTCCTCTCTCAGATCACAATCTCATCACCTTTACAGTGTCCTCATCTTCAAACACTTATCCCTCCAAGCAGCAAACAATTACCCACAGAAACCTTCACAACTTAAACCCTTCTCTCTTCCACTCCGTAACTGACCGCTCTCCCTGCCCTGACCTGGCCACTGCTGTCTACAACAGTTCACTTTCATCCCCACTAGACTCACTTGCTCCTCTAACTACACGAAGTATGAGGCCAGGACCATTACAACCGTGGCAGACTGGCGACACCAGAAATCTTAAGCAACATAGTTGTGCACTGGAGCGGTTGTGGCGTAAAACCAAATCTCAGCAAGCATTCACCCTATATTAATCTGCTTTCTTAACATACAATTCCTCCCTCCATGCTGCTAAACAAGCCTACTCTGTCACTCGTATTAATACCTTGTCATCAAGTTCTCGTTGTCTCTTCTCTACTTTTAACTCTCTACTTTCTCCACCTCCACCCAGTAACTCACTCACTGCTTACGAGATTGCAAATCATTTCAAAAACAAGATTGATGCAATTCATAGGGGCATCTCCACTACACAGACATCTATCCCACTTAGCATACCTTATACTAAACCTCTGTCAACACTTTCCTCTTTTGACCTTGCTACTACTGAAGAGGTCACTAAAGTTTTCTTAGAAGCCCATATCACCACGTGCCCCCTGGTTCTGGTCACCTTCTTCTTCTGTCCTATGCTGCCTCACTCACATCTTCAATCTCTCCCTCTCTAATGGTGCCTTCCCCACCCCTCTAAAGCATGCACAGATCACTCCCATACTTAAAAAACCCTCGTTGGACCCCACCAACCTGAACAACTTAAGACCCATCTCCCTGCTCCTGTTTACCTCTAAACTCTTAGAATGCTTAGTCTACAATCGCCTGAGCTCCTACCTCACTGACATCAACCTTCTTGACCCTTTACAGTCTGGCTTTCACTCACTACACTCCACTGAAACTGCCCTACTAAAACTCACTAATAATTTACTAACTGCTAAAACCAATGGCCACTACTCCATACTCTTACTACTTGACCTCTCTGTGGCTTTTGATACTGTTGACCATCCCCTCCTCCTCAAAAAACTCCACTCTCTTAGCCTCCAATACTCTGCTCTCTTCTGGTTCTCCTAACTATCGCAATGCTCCTTCAGTTTTACCTATAACTCTGTCTCCTCCTCTCCACTTCCTCTTTCTGTAGGGGTCCCTCAAGGTTTTGTCCTTAGACCCCTTCTCTTCTCCATCTACACCTCCTCCCTTGGTCACTTGGTAAACTCCCATGGCTTTAAGTACCATCTCTATGCTGATGACACACAAATCTATCTTTCTACTCCCCTTCAGTCACCTCTCGCATTACTAATCTACTAAGTGACATATCAGCATGGAGGTCACTCCACTTCCTCAAACTAAATCTTTCCAAAGCAGAGCTCATATTATTCTCTCCAGCCCATGCTCCCCTGACTTCTCTATCAAGATTAATATTACAACCATCAGTCCCTCCCCTCATGCCAGGGTACTAGGTGTAATCCTAGACTCACATCTGTCTTTTCAGCCCCAAATCCAATCACTGTCCAAATCTTGTAGACTCCACCTCCAACAACTCCTAGATACGCCCGTTCCTAACCTCTGAAACTGCTAAGCAACTTATCCACTCCCTTATTATCTCTCACCTTGACTATTGTAACTCCCTCCTCATTGGCCTACCTAATCGCAGGCTATCCCCTCTTCAGTCTATCATGAATGCTGTTGCCTCACTCATCCACCTTACCAACCGTTCCATATCTGCCATCCCT